GGAAATATTTTACGATATACATGTCAGTCTGGCAGGTTTTATTTGACCTTGACCTCATTTTCAAGGTTCATTGCTAAATGTTAAGTTTTTGTGTTTTAGTCTGTTTTCCTAATACTGTATGCAGTAGGTCAACAATATTTGGTGTATGGAAATATTTAATGATGTACATGTCAGTCTGGCAGGTTTTATTTGACCTTGACCTCATTTTCATGGTTCATTGCTTATATTAAGTTTTTGTGTTTTGGTCTGTTTTTCTTTCACTTTAAGCAATAGGTCAACTTTATTTGGTGTATGGAATGATTGTAAGGTGTATATGTCTATCTGTCAGGTATCATCTGACCTTCACCTCATTTTCATGGTTGATTGGTCAATGTTCAGTTTTCCTGGTTAACTTTTTACTTAGATACCTTAAGCAATAGGTCAACTATATTTGGAATGATTTTAATGTGTACATGTCTGTCTGGCAGGGTTCAAATGACCTTGACTTCATTTTCATGGTTCATTGGTCAATATAGAATTTCCATGGTTTGGTCTGTTTCTTTTATACTATAAGCAATAGGTCATCTATATTCTGTGTATGGAGGGATTGTATTAGAGGTGTAAATGTATTTCTGGCTTGGTTTATCTGACCTTGACCTCATTTTCTTGGATCATAAATGTTAATGTGATACTTGTAGTAAAACTTTATATGTAGGACTATCAACATAAAATCAATGGTCAGTATATAGTAGGCGAGACATTTCAGCGTGTGCACTCTTGTTTTATTAGTTGTTATTGGCTTTGAACTAGCTGTCCGTAACTGTGAGAACTCTCAGATCTGTATTTAGTGTCTCTTTTGTTGTTAGGGATGAGGGGATGGATATATATCCTGCCACGTCCTGTCTGCTTTTGTTTGATGTTTTATTTGCATCAATCTGATGAGTTCAGCCTTTTTCAACTGATTTTTTATATAGTTTGTTCTTATGATGTGCTGTTACACCACTGTCCCAGGTAAGGGGGAAGGTTGATCGCTCACAAACATGTTTAACCCTGCCACATTTTATATGTGCCTGTCCCAAGTCAGGAGCCTGTAGTTCAGTGGTTGTAGTTGGTTTATGTCTGTCATATTTGTTTTTCGTAAATTATTTTGTTATAAATTAGACCGTTTGTTTTTCATGTTGAGGCCTTTTATAGCCGACTATACGGTATGGGTTTTTCTCATTGTTGAAGGCCGTACAGTTGCCTATAATTACTTATATCTTTTGGCTCTGCACTCTCTCAGTCATGATAAGGTTTTTTAAGGAGAACCATTAGTGGTAGGTCTGATATTTGGTATGCAGATATATTAACAGTGGCATATCTCATTTCAATGGAGATGATTTGTCTCTGTTCCCTCAGTCATGGTCTATTTATTGAATATTTTCATAGTTTACATGTTAAAGGTTATTGTTAAATCAGTTTTAAGATAAACCACTATTGTCAAGTCAATGAAATTTGGTGTGCAGTTGTATAAAAATTTGCAATTTCATTTCCATGGAGAAAATATGGCCCTTGTTCATTGACTTTGTAACTTTTCATATAAAAATAAGATGTGATTATGATTGCCAATAAGAACTATCCACCTAGATAGAATATGACATTCCTCTCATAAATTGAATATATATATAGAATGTTGGTGTTCAGGGTTGAAGGACATGAAAAAATTGTATTTTTTATTGTTGTAACTTCAAAGTATGCAATGTGATTTCGAAAAAAAACCAATAGTAAAGGTGAACACTTTAAGTATTTTTATTGTCATATGACCTTAACCATTTGACCGTGATGGTTTTAGAATGAGCATAGTGTCCTACGCAGAATTTGTCTTTTATGTGGAGCAGGATCTGCTTACCCTTCCGGACACCTGAGATCACCCCCAGTTTTTGGATGGGTTCTTGTTGCTAAAGTCTTTAGTTTCTGTGTTGTGTTTTGTTGTTTGTCTGTTTGTCTTTTTCTTTTTTTAGCCATGGCATTGTCAGTTTATTTTCTTTGTGAGTTTGAATGTCCCTTTGGTATCTTTAGCTTCTCTTTTACTTTGTGCAAAGGATTTCAGAAAACTTATTCAAACTGCATTATCTGACATCATCCTTATTTGTTTGAATTTCAAGCATACTCAAATATATGTCATAATTTGTTTTCAAGTACATGTAGTAAAAGTTTGTAATTATTGACATATATGGCCCTAGCAATGTTTGTTGACATTGGCACTAGATAAAAAGGTTTAAGTTCATCTTATAATCCTGCACATTTAAATTGGAATTTTCTTCCTTTTTTATATGCACATTTACGGGACGTATTATGGTATACCGTTGTCTGTCCGTCTGTCCGTTGTCAACATGTCAGATAATAACTCAAAATTTAACCAATTTGCATGAATCTTTGGTGAATTGTTTATATCAGATGCATTTATATACGCTCCTCCAATTGTTTGTTTTTGTAATTTGCACTGGCCTGTTTCTTTTATTATGCATATAATATAATATTTGTATACATATACTATTTAAATTGAATTGTATATGTATGCATGTTTAAAATGACTACTGATTGATAAGTGTTTCTCTCATATAATTCTAATAATTTCTTGGAAGGAATGATCGTTACAGTGCATGTATCATACACTTAGGTATTTTGTAAAGTAATTCTCATTCCAATAAAAATAGATCATTAAGACCTCAGGGAAAAAAGAACAGGGAAGCTTCTTACAATATTTTGTTAGACAGTAATGTCATTATGATTGCAAGATATACAAAAATTGAGCATGAGAATATGAATTAGATAAAGTTCAATATATCTAAATTGTGACAAGGGAAATAACTCCATAATTTAAGATGAATTGGACAAACTATTCCATATCCATTAAATATATTTTTTTCTTTCATGCATTGTACTCCTAAATATTTTTCCAGGATATTGTGTAACATGTTTTATTTGCAGCAAATGAAGAAAATGAAACAGATTTGATGAAAAGTAAACTACATTAAATGCATTTACTAGCATCTTCTATTGAACTCACTACATGTTAAATAATCATTACCAAATACTAGATTGTACTAGACAATAGTAATCAGGAAAATGCAAACAATAAACAATTACTAAGAGACAACATATCACTTGCAGTTATAGCTTTGATACTGTTAACCATTGATATAAACATTTCATAGATACTCACAGTCCATTAAAAATTGACTTTTGAAGTTAGTGAAATATACAGAACGTCCTTGAAATATGAAGAAGGTCAATTTTCCCTCCTATATTCTGACTTTGAATTTAAATTGACCATGGTAATATGAAGAATACAGAAGTGCCATGTACCTATAAGTAGATCTTTGTTTGGTACTGTATTTTGTTGATATTACAATAAATGAAGATGGCTTTAGTCTGTTGACAATTTATGTCAAATAATTGTAATTGCTAGAAAGTCAATATGATTTTTTCTCAACCAGGGCTCATTATATTCCAAAGATATGAAATATCTTATTTATAGCTCAAAAGATTTTGTAGAGAATCAAAACTTTTCATAGGCACTGTAACCTTGACCTTCCACCCCATAAACCAAACGGTGATAATTGTCATTTAAGAGTAATAACTCCTTTAAGGAGTCGGTTGAAAGATTTTGTCTAAATTAATGGTATGTAGATCTTCACATTCTCAACATTTCTATCCTATCAGATTTTTCTTTCTATAACAGTTTACAAGATAATAGACGATATTTCACCCCTATGTTTTATTTTAAGCCTTGGCAGCCATGTTGGTTGGCAGCTGAGGTCATTAGACACACTTTTTTAAATGAATACCCTATGGTCCAATTAGCAGAGGAGATGATGTTTGTAAAAATTAACAGACAATACGACAATGACAGACCACATCAACAACAGACCCCAAGCCATTGGAAAAGCTCACACTGGCCCTTTGTAGCTAAAAACAACTGAAGAACATCTTGAGGTCAACAAATAGTCTTCAACCATAAAAAGAGTATTAAACTATATGTCAAGCATTGAATTGCTCCATGATAATAAAAGTTGGGAAGAAATCCAACAAAGATTGTGACAAGGGAAATAACTCCATTTATGAACAATCTGCTACAACACTAAATTCCCTTAAAATGTTCCGATAATGTCTCATACCAAATATTTTAATAAGAGATAATAATCACTGACTGTATGAAATCCTGGTTGTCTTATGTTGCTGTATATCATATTTGTTTTTTGTTTATTGTTTTGTACATAAATCAGGCCGTTTTCTTGCTTTCTTGTTTTACATTTGTCATTTCGGGGCCTTTTATAGCTTGCTTTGCCACATGGGTTTTACTTATTGTTGGAGGCCATATGAGACCTACAGCTACTAACTTCTACTTCATTTGGTCTCTGATGTAGAGTTGTCTCATTGGCACTCATACCACATCTTCTTATTTTTATATAAAAACAAGCATTCTGAGGGTATTGCATAGCAATACATAGTCCCCTACCACTTAAAAATTCATTGTACTGGAACAAAATGCTAACGTAATCTATAACTTGTCATGGTGTAAACTATATAACAAATATCAAGTCAATATCTTCAAGCATGAGGATAAAAAGTGTGGAAAACTGATTATTTAAGTAAATTTTCTAAGTCCAAGGACCATAACACTGCACAAAATCATTAGACCAGAACAAAATTCGAACTTGATCTGAAACTTGTCCTGATAAAACTATGTACCAATTATCAAATCAATATCTTCAAGCATGACGAAGATAAGTGTGGAAAACTGATTATTTGAATGTATTTTTTTAAGTCCAAGGACCATATCTCTGCACAAAATTGTCAGACAGGAACTTAATTCGAACTTGTTCTGTATTTTGTCATGATAAAACAATACATCAAATATCAAATCAACATCTTCAAGCATGAAGAAAAAAGTGTGGAAAACTGATTTGCCGGACAGACAGACAGACGGACGGAGTGCAAACCTAAATTCCCCTTCGACAACTAATAAAACACTCAAACTGTATTACATGAAATTTAATTTCAATTTAAGTTAAGAAAATATTTACATAAATGCAGAAATGAATGATCAATAAAACAGAATGTAAAAGCAGGACTAGAGACACCATAGTTTGTAATTAGGAGGTAGGACTATGTTAATGGGACCTTTGAATGTACTATATCCATTATTTTAGTCACTATAGTTGATACTTCAGCCATTGCACCAAAACCTGAAAAAGAAATCAACATTTCAGTCAGATCAAAATTAATAAATATATTTAATAAATTAATATTTGACAATTTTTCTTACCCTTTCTTTTATTCTAATGTTGGAAATAAAACTAAAACTTTGAAAAGTAATATATGTTTAAGCTTGAGACAGTTCTTTCATCTTTTTAAAAATAAGGGCAGGTGTGATATGCTGATCAATTCAGCTATTCATCGACCGCGGCGTCAACAATGTACTAGTTTGTGATTAGGTCTAGTTCATGGTCAATCACTAGTGGTAGGTCAGTGATATTTGGTCTGCAGTTGTAATAGCATTGGCACATCTCATTACCATGGAGATTGTTTGGCCCCGCCCCCTCAGTCAAGGTCTATTGACTTTGAAACTTTGCTTAGTTTACATGTATTAGTTTGTGATTAGGTCAGTTTATGGGGAACCACTAGTGGTAGGTCAATGATATTTGGTATGCAGTTGTATTAGCATCGGCACATCTCATTACCATGGAGATTATTTGGCCCCGCCCCCTCAGTCAAGGTCTATTGACTTTGAAACTTTGCTTAGTTTTCATGTATTAGTTTGTGATTAGGTCAGTTTATGGGGAACCACTAGAGGTAGGTCAATGATAATTGGTATGCAGTTGTAAAAGCATTAGCACATCACATTTCCATAGAGAATATTTGGTCCTTTCCCCTCAGTCATGATCTATTGACTTTGAAACTTTTACCTAAGTTTACATGTATTAGTTTGTGATTAGGTCAGTTTAAGATGAACCACTAATGTGAGGTCAATGATATTCGGTATGCAAATGTATTGGCATTTGCAAGTTTCATTTCCATGGATTATATAGCCCCACCCCCTCATCATGGTTCATTGACTTTGAAACATTTACATAGTTTACAAGTAATGTTTGTGTTTAGGTTTGTTGAAAGGGAACGACTTAAGTCAATGGTATTTGGTATGCAGTTGTATTACATTGGCACATCTCATTTCCATGGAGATTGTTTAGCCCTGTACCTTCAGTCATGGTTTATTGACTTTGAATATTTGCATAACTTACATGTAATTTAAGTATTGCTATTTTAATTTCAACATTTGCATTATCAAAATAACAAATAGGCGAGACATATCTCTGTGTTAACAGTTTATTCAATTGGGCATGTAACATTGTTGACAAATAATTTAAGCTTGTATTTACTTTTATATGACCAATTAGCATTTGGTTTTGATTCTAATAGAAAGTTGAAATATACCAAATGAATATTCAAACTCATTAGTCGAAAAACAAACTGACAAATGACCAAAAGACAAACAACAGTCACCTAACACAACATACAAAGACTGAGCAACAAATCTGTGTTATTCTGATGTTTTAAATATTTTCCATTTCAATGAAACTAATCCCAAAACATGACAATACGGATCAAGGCATATATGGTGACATTTTTACATATGAAAGGCTACCAAATCTGGTACTAAATGTACTTTACACTTTTACAATAAAATTACAAAAAAAATCCATTCAATTATGAAATATTATACTGTGGATTCATTATTATTCGTGGGATATAAATTTTTGTGCATTTCATGAGTACAAGTAAACCACAAATTTAAATATTCAACAAGTTACAAATTTTGTATAGTCTTATGAGCAGAATATGGCAAAACCATGAAATCAAATATCCATGAAAATGTAAGTTTTACTACAATCTACAAAAATTGATATCCACGAAAAATAAATTAATCCACAGTATGCCCTGTATGTTTTACCGTCATCTCCACAAGCTAATTTCTTCCTGATACAGGGAATTTCTTTGTATCCAAAACTTTTTAATTTTTCTATCTGTTGACTTGTTAACGGATGATTCCACATATGTGTGTTCATGGCAGGAGCAAATAATAATGGTCTTTTTAAATCCCAAGCTCTTACTACACATGTCTAGAAAATAAGAAGGGAATAAATTATAGGCCATTTTATTTCTATCAAAGCTGTAAAAAACAAATTGTCCAAATTTGATCCATTTTTAACCTGGTACAGCCTAAAATAGATATAAGAAGATGTGGTTTGAGTGCCAATGAGACAACTCTCCATCCAAGTCACAAATTGTAAAAGTAAACCATTATAGGTCAAAGTACGGCCTTCAACACGGAGCCTTGGCTCACACCGAACAGCAAGCTATAAAGGGCCCCAAAAATGACTAGTGTAAAACCATTCATTCAGGAAAACCAACAATCCAATCTATATAAAAAACGAGAAACTAGAAACACTTATGAACCACATCAACAAACGACAACCACTGAACATCAGGTTCCTGACTTAGGACAGGTGCAAACAAATGCATCGGGTTTAAATGTTTTAATAGGCGCCAACCTTCACCCTACCTGAAACAATAGTGTTACATCACAACATAGAAAGACACACTATAAAATATCAATTGAAATGGCTAAACTCAATCAAAAGACATAAAAAAAAACAACAAGTGAACATACACTGACAAATAAATTTGATCTATGACACAATGTAAATAACAGGCTATTATTTCAACTTGGAATTATTTTTAATTGTGGAATTTGCATAATTTCTTGTGCTTGAAAATTTTAATAAATTCCATGTTTATTCTGTATTTTAATGTTCTGTGCGGGCACAACACTTTCTATTACATAGAAGAATGCACATTTTCAATAGAATGTACTGTGCGGCGCACAACACTATCTATACAAAATACATTGTATGGAAAGTGTTATGCACCCCTCAAAACATTATAATACAGAATAAACATGGAATTTATTAAAAATTTCAAGCACAAGAAATTATGCAAATTCCATAATTAAAAATAATTCCAAGTTGAAATAATAGCCTGTTAAATACAAAATTAATTAAACAAGGGGGATAGATGTAAAACAATATCAAAAAGACAACCATAACCTTGGACAAAATGCTGCCAAATAAAATAACATACACAGGTAAATAAAAATAATTTTGTTGTAAGGTATACATGGAGTATACGGAAATAATTTTTACAAAATAAATAATTTTGTTGTTACTAGTACGAGAACAAAAGTGAAAATTTATCGTCATACTTAACACTAATAAAAGGTGGTATATATTTAAAATAGTGAGACTAGATATAACAATGAATAAGTAAACATTTTAAAACTAACAAAAATACATTACAAATTGTATCAACAGGTCAAATTAACACGAAAGTATGATTTGAGAGTACTCGCAGTTACTGAATAAAATTGAGAATGGAAATGGGGAATGTGTCAAAGAGACAACAACCCGACCATAGAACAGACAACAGCAGAAGGTCACCAACAGGTCTTCAATGCAGCGAGAAATTCCCGCACCCGGAGGCGTCCTTCAGCTGGCCCCTAAACAAATATATATACTAGTTCAGTGATAATGAATGCCATACTAAACTCCAAATTGTACACAAGAAACTAAAATTAAAAATAATACAAGACTAACAAAGGCTAGAGGCTCCTGACTTGGGACAGGCGCAAAAATGCGGCGGGGTTAAACATGTTTATGAGATCTCAACCCTCCCCCTATACCTCTAGCCAATGTAGAAAAGTAAACGCATAACAATACGCACATTAAAATTCAGTTCAAGAGAAGTCCGAGTCTGGTGTCAGAAGATGTAACCAAAGAAAATAAACAAAATGACAATAATACATAAATAACAACAGACTACTAGCAGTTAACTGACATGCCAGCTCCAGACTGCAATTAAACTGATTGAAAGATTATGTCTTCATCATATGAATATCAGGCACAATCCTTCCCGTTAGGGGTTTAGTATCATACCATCATAACATATATGAGAAGAACATAACCTGTGTCATGAAAGCTAGTTAAAGCCAAAAAACAATTAATAATAAAAAATCATGCATCAGAGACTAAAATCAACTAAAACACATCCAAGGCATTTAGTGTTTTAACGTCATGGACAGTCAAAGAAGACATGACTTGTGCAATGCCAAAATAAAAGTATCGACAGGCAGTAGGATAGTTAGGGAGTTAACCTGTTATTAAATATGTATAATGTAATATATAGATAGAGTAATCTCTATATAGAAAATGAACGTGGATGTGTATTTATAAATCCCAAAAACTCGTTTGAAAAGAAATCAAAAGTTATGTTTTAATTTGCAGATGACAAAATCGATATTTGTGCCAATGTAAACTATATTCAAAGATCTAATTACAACACTGGTAAGATAACCTTTACTAATAAGTTTGTTTAAAGGTTCGATGAGTTTACACGGATCACATAGTGATTACAGCACTTTTAGTACAATATTATCGTAAAATTTAGGATGTGAATTACCTTTTTTAACAAGTTTTCTACAGGTACAGCCAAATTTACTAATCAAATCTTTGTATCTATGAAAGAATTTAATAAAAGTTTTAAGCAATTTATGGTAACGACATCCCTGACTTAATAATTTACCAGTAATGCATTGATTACTTTTGTTTAAATCTATGACATCACTACACACATGGGCATAACAAACGAGTTGGGATATACAAACACTGTATGATGGAGCCAAAGGAATATCGTCGTCTAATAAGGGAAAATTAACAATAGAGAATGAAAAATCGTCACTTTTGTCTTAAATTTTAGGATGGAGTTTCCCTTTAAAAATTGAAATGACTAAATCTAGAAAAGGACAACTACTGCTGTTTATGTTAGATTTATTTAAAGTAAGTTCCTTTGGGTTAATTTTGGTTGTATATTTAGAGAACTCTGGATTATTCAATGAAAAAATATCATCAAGATAATGGTAGGTATTGTTGAATGTATCAACCAAATGTAACAATGATGTGTCTTTACTGAGTTTTGTCATAAACTGAGATTCATAGCAATACAGGAATAAATCGGCTATTAAAGGGGCGCAGTTAGTGCCCATAGGAATACCTACTACCTGTCAATAAAAGACTATTTTTTTAATAAAAAAAAAACTTCCAATTGCAAAAAATATTAGTGCTGAAACTATTAGGGCTCTTCTAGACAAGCAAGGATTATTGAACTATGATATTATAACTTCATTTTGATTTATATTGAATGCTTGTACTAAAAAGACATTTTACATAGTGATTAAGCTTGATATATAGAAAGGTGTATCACATTTTGCAAAATCAAAATTCTTTTTCAGGTAAAATCTTGTTTACCAAAACCCCCTTCCTCTACTTTCAGAAAAATATGGAGAATTTAATTTTTCTTTTGGTTTCAGTTTGGTAAATGAACAATGAAATAACTTAATACTTTTAGATTGTGAAAGAAAAATGTTTTTTGTTTGTAAAACTTACTAATAAATTATCACAGATTCCATGCGTAAGTTTTGCTAACGTGTTAGCATCCAGAGGAGCTATTACCATCAGATCGGCCCATCTTCTCAGCTCTATATGTAGTATAGGGTCACTCACAGTCTTCCAGTCCTATAGAAAAAATATAAAACTTAAACCTGAACATACAGATAGCATTGACATCAAAAGAATTTTAAACCAAGTACACATATTAATTATCTTAATGAGACAAATAAGATAATACAGATTTATTTTTTCAAGAGATTTATAAATTAGAGTTATAATCTTGACTCTTTCTATGCTTATGTTGAAAAGAATTTTCAGAATGCCATTAAAGTATTCCCCAACAATAACCAACAAATTATATGGTATGATGTGGAAAGAACATTCAACTAAGCATATTATTCTACCACATATTACCAAAGAAATTTGTTATTTAACTTTACCCAATCACATTTCATACTGTGCAAGACCTGCAGTATGAAAAAAGAAAATGAATGTGATAACTATTCGTTAGCCTTTTTTTCTACATAATATCATGTGGTGTTGTGTGTGATGTCCCTGGTGCATCATAGTCTACTGTATGTTAACCCAATATCAATTTGGAAGGAGCCTCATGTACTAAAACCAGGTTTTGATTTGTGGGATGAATAAAAATTTGAGAACCAGGTCAAAGGTCTTTTATTAGCGTGCTGACAATTGGTTGCAGATACCTAGACTGGTCAAACCCGCCAAAAAAATAAAATTGTGTATCATAGGTAGTAAATATTTTTCGTTTGAATTGTTTCACATTTTTCATGTAGGGGCCTTTTATTGTCTACTATACAGTATGTTTTTTTTTTAATGTTGAAGGCTGTATATTGGCCTTTAATAATTGCTAACATCCACTTCATTTGAACTCTGGTGGATAGTGGATTGGCAATCATACCACATCTCCATAATTTTATACTGCTGTTTATGCACTGCATACTAGGCATCAGTCATATAAAGTAAGAAAAATATGTTCATAGAGGGAGGGGCAATTCCTCTTTACACTCTGCTACCTTTACTAAGCTTGCATATTTTATAACTAACAAGTATGTTGGTCTAGTACATTGTCATAATTGTATAATTGATCTTCTCGTCTTTAATTAATATGGTAGCACTTGGAGTTTATCATCCATGGCATCCATTAAAGATCAATTTGTGATGTGTCTTCTATATATCAAGTTAAAAACCCAATGTCATTGTTCATTTGCTTTCAAAAAGAACAGCCTTTTAAGAACATTTTTACAAAGTTTCAAGCAATTCTTGGATGTGTCATTTCCACATGATTTTGATGCTTACAAAGAATGACTCTTAGGTTTTCTTTAGTTTCATCCTTCTTTTTATTCTACAATTTTTTAAGTATTAAAGTTATCAATCTGACTACATTATTTCAGATTCTACTGTTCTATATATGTTACAAACAAACCTTCCATTCATCCGCCTCTGTTAGCACAGGAATCTGTAAAGATTTGTGGTCAAAGAAGTTTAGGGCTTTCTCTGTTGCTACAACTTTTATTTCCAGCTAAAAAAATATAACAATAAATTGAAATTTTTTTTTAATTCATTTAATCAAAAATTCATGATTTTGGCAATGCATACTTAACCAGTTACTGGTATCAAATTTCGACAGTTGACATTAATAAAATTCTACATAACACATATGATTTTATAAACTGCTAGATAGGCTTAATTTGGTTGAAATGACTGAAATTCTGTGACTGAATATTTTTTTTTATTATTAATTTCTTTATCTTTTTAGACCTTTTTACCATGTGGTTTTCCATAAGACAATTTAGATAAAATTTAGTCAGAATATTCCTGCAATCTGGGAAGCCACATCAGGTGTTTACTCTCCCTGTTTAATATATTCAGGCTACAAGTGTGGTGACCACTAATAGGACCAACTACAAAATCTGTGTGATACCCCCTTTCCAAATTAGCTATATATATATGACAAATACATGTAAGGCATATAATTAATAATTCACGCACAAGGAATCGATTCGACAACGCAACACAAAATCTCTGATTCGATGAACTTTCTCCCCCACCCTTGATTTTCATTCTGTGGTGAACCCTGCAATAGATTCAATTTATGGCATAGAGCTCAAGTGTGTTGATTTCTTAAGTTTTGTATGACATTAAGACTTGTAGCTCATTAACATGATTATACATTTTTTGTAATTGAAATGAGGATTTGTGGTATGATTGCCAATGAGACTGCTATCCACCAGAGAGACCAAACAACGTGAATGATAGCAACTATCGGTCTTCAACAATGAGCAAACCCCATACCGCATAAACTATTTCATAGAACACATGTACCAAGAGTTGTTTTTAAATGATCATAGAGTTAATGATCATGGGATATATTTTCATTATTGCTATTTGGTATGATTTTCGTTTGATCTTTTTTTGTGATTATTTTTCATAACATGCTACTGGCTTGAGATAGCAAATTATTACTAGTATCTAATCCCTGTTAGCAACAGCATAGTTTTTCTCAGTCAAGAGAAAAAGAATGTATGACGTTTCCTAGGAAAACAGTGATTTACAGATTATCAAAGGTTTTTCAAGGGATGTTTCTTGGCTTTATCTCATCTCAAGGCTGTCACCCTTCAATGAGTTTGTCGCTGAGACACCCTCTCATTTGAAAAAACATCGAAAATCTATAATTATCATGTTTTTATTTGGTTTTATTCAGTGCTTTTTCTGACCAGATTATTTAAATTTTGTTACTGTGCATCTTTTGTTATTCCATTGATCATGTTCATCCATAAAAAAAAAGGGAGGGTTGAGCATAAAACAAATTTTAACATGGTACTCATCAATGGTTGTGAATGCTGCTGTTTGTCTCATTCGGTTTATCAGTCCAAAATAAAAGAATTTGGTGTTTCAATTCACAAGCATTCAGTCAGAAAAAGAGAGGTGAAATTACCAAAAGGATATTAAATCTCATAAGTCGAAAAATAAACTGACAATGCCATTTCAAAAAAAGAAAAAGACCAAAAGACAAACAAAAGTATACAAAACACAACATAGAAAACTAAAGACTGAGTAACACGAACCATTTTAAGTCCCAGCATTCAAATACAAAAAGTAAACACTAAGTACAATATTTACCCTGTACAGCTCTCTAACAGTTGTTGAATTAATGACAAATTTTCCAAGCAAATTTATTTTGAGAGACTGACAAATAAAAGTGTAGTTACCACTCAACAAACAAAGTTATGAAAATATAACCAGACAAATTATTCAAATTTGAGGCATTATACTCTTCTGAATTTTGCTTCATAAAGATGTGTATGACATTTTTACCTATACCATATATTTCAACTCTGCACAAGTGATTTGTTTAAAAGATTACTCTCGATTGAGGTGATTATTGTGTATTCAGTCTGATCAAGGATTTACATCGTAAATATTTATATCATTAGCCTAGCCGCCTGATATAAGAATATAAGACATTATAAGGGCCAATCCAAGATTTTTGAAAGGGTGGCGTAATTCCAGAATACTGTAAACCTATATATCGAAAAATATTGAATGATTTTATGTTTTAAAATTATAAATATATTTTTACTGGGACTATTATACTAACTATAGAGTCCCAGATTTTTACAATAAAAAGGAGGTGTACCCCCCTCTACTCCCCTCCCCTCAATCCGCCACTCAAAGTAAATTATCCAAAATTACCAAATACCCCCTGATGTACTCATCACCTGTAGGAATGATGCTAAATGAATCACATCAAAAGCTTTAGCTTGTATGTTAGTACATAATCAGATAATCATAAATGGGTGGAGATACCTGGTCATCGATGTTGACAAGTTCCTGGACTAAGATTGGGACTTTTATAGCTGCAACACTTCCTGTACAGCCAATTAGAACCTTTCTTCCTTCTACTGTTGGACCTGACATTGCTGTTCAGCTTCAAATGTTCACCCCTGTAGCAGAAGGATTCCCTGTGTCCATGTTAAAATGTTAAATCTAGAGAGAATCAAAACAGACAAGGGAGTTAATTACGATTGAAAAAGGTATTCCCCATTCATATTGAATTAATTCTAAATGTAAATGTGGAGAATTGTGATAAATGAAATAAAACCATGAATAATTTGTTCTTGACTTTATCCTTTTAATAAACTATAAGAGAAGAAATGATAATTTATCGATTTTTAACTATTTTGTTCGGAACCTCTTTTGATCTTTGATCCTGAAAATGTAAGAATGGCTAACGAAGAAGACGACGTGGAACTAGCAGAAGAAAACATATTGTATGACTTAACAGTCCAAGCTGAATGGCCACAAGAATCAGAAATTTTTGTATGTGTCTTCTTCTATTGATATTCTCTATTTATGCGCCATATTTTATCCTAAACAAAGTTTTTTTATGTTTTCCAAACCCTAATGGTTTTAAGTTCAGCTGTTCTGACAGAGTTTTTTCCTTTTGATAAAGAACTTTCAACTCAGATTCTGAACAGTAATTTATCCTATGTCATGTACACTAATCTGCTTTACTGTCTCTATGATGGGACCTCGTGACACAATACTGTACTATTAAACTTGTCGTGACTTAAGGACTGACAGTCTACAAGCCAATTTGTATATATTTTTATTTTTCGTTTAGGGTATCTCGCCCCTACATGTAGGTATCAACATTCCTTCTAAGAAGGCTTTTTTAAATAATTTTTCCTTTCCAACAAAGTATATTAGCCTTAGCAATTAGATCGCTTGTCAGCATCACAGAATTAGAATGTCACTCTATTTGAGACTTTATTTTGTTTACGATGATACATTGTGTAGGTGAATTTCTGATTGTCATGCTTAGTTTAAGAACTAGTTGGTTTGTCATTGTGTTTGAGTATTGACATTTAGTTGTGACAAAGATAACTTATAAAAATGGAAAGAGTAATCTTTATTAAAGTCAATGATCGGTAAATAAAAATCTACTTTGCTGAAATAACTATGTTTTTTTATTTTGGTTCATTTTTATATGTTTCTGAGTTAAGTGTGACATCCATTTTCCCTGAACTAGTATTATACATTTTTGTTTAGGGGCCAGCTAAAGCCCGCCTCCGGGTGAAGGATTTTCTCGCTGTGTTGGAAACCCATTGGTGGCCTTGAGCTGTTTGGTCGAGTTGTTGTCTCTTTGACACATTCCCCGTTTCCATTCTCAATTTTATTTTTTTGTAAATGTTGGTCATGCTGACATTTTCATTTTCTATTTTTCCTCATATTATACCCCTACTTGCTGACTTGATAGCTTTTCTAAAAAGGGCGATATATAATGATGAGGGAGCATGTAGAGTTCTTCTTTCCCACTTTTTCAGCAACTGCAGAGACAATTTCGTAAAAACTTGCACAGAATCTTTAATACTCACATGATGAACTTTTGGATCTCCTTTATCATTTTTTTCCTGTGAATGATTATTTGGGTTTACTTTGGGATGACATGTAAATCATCATAATAATCAACACACTTTAGTTCACATTTGTGTCTTCATCTTCTCCTAAACCCCTTTACATAGTATAATATATTGAAACTTTCAGAATATTTACCATATAATGCAATTGTGCACTTCCTATTGTATGTTTCCTCATCAGAATAAGTTTTGGGATTTCCATAACCAAAGTCAGGACTTCACCATTCCTTTATTTGAAAGGTACCCATTTTTATCTGCAACACCTCCTAAACCTATTATTACAATTTATTAAAACTTTCTAACAATCTTGACCATATAGTGGTATTGTGCATCTTTTTTGTTTTTTTTATCAGACGCATTTTATCAGTTTCCTGTAGCAAATCATGTGTACAGAACAGAACACATTTCTATTTCCTCCAACGACAGCCTCTCATCAGAATTTGAAGAAATGGTCTCATAATCTCCAACATATAATGCCATTGTGAACCTTGTAATTTGTTTTCAATCCAAATTATTTTAGGGATTCCCTTACTAAATCATGAACTTTGCAATTGATGCAGTGGCAGATCCAGGGGGAGGGTTTCCGGGGGGTTGGGACCCCCTTTTTTTTTTTACGATCAATGCATTTGAATGGGGACATATAGTTGGAATCCCCCCTTTATTCTGGGTTAGGACCCCCCTTTTATAAATGGCTGGATTTGCCCCTGTGATGGGAGGGAGGGGGTGATAGTTTTTTGAGCTTTGCTCACAGTACCTCTAGTTTCTTGTAAAATTTGTACCTATAAGGATATGCAAAAGCACAATTTCCTTACCTGAATGAGTATACTTCTTCAATTTATTGTAATGTCTTAGATGCTAGCTTCTTTCATAAACAATTAAATGTATTGGTATTTTTGTTTACAGACAAGAGGAGCCAGAGATAAAGGCCATGTATCTTTACTGGGGAGACTAACATCAGTAACACAAAGTAAGTACTGTAAACCGAGGAATTTTAGCGCCGTCTTTATGTCGCGATGTATTAACACACTCTAAATTTTGCACCATTTTGAATTGAGGATATTCCAGTGGCCGTTAAAAATATTTTCGTAATTAATTTAGAATATTCAGAAATCTTGTGTTTTCGGTTCCTTAATGTGAAAGGAGATTAAAAGTTGTGTCATGTTTACTCTTAAAAACACATGCGCATTGAAAAACAGAAAAGAAAATTAAACCTAATTTAGAGTGAATTAAATGTTGTCAGGATTAATGCTAATTAATCAATCTTTTGATCTGATTAACCTGTGTAGCACTCAGATCACCCCCAGTTTTTGGTGGGGTTCGTGTTGCTTAGACTTTAGTTTTCTATGTTGTGTCATCTGTACTATTATTTGTCTGTTTGTCTTTTTATTTTTGGCCATGGCGTTGTCAGTTTGTTTTCGATCTATGAGTTTGAATGTCCCTCTGGTATCTTTCGTCCCTCTTTCATAGCAGATTCAATGAGGTAATACTTTTAAAACTGATTGACAGGCGTCATTTACATATTTGTTATAAGTGTTTTTTATATAACAATATCCGTAATGTCCACTTGCTTGAGATGCTTTCCATGTTAAAAAGATTAACGAGTTCAAGTCATGATTTCTAACATTGCTTTTTATTTAGAAATACAGTTATGATTTGAAGAATAGATCTGTTGTCTGTAAAATCGGTGTTATACAGTGGTCCTGTACATATCCTATTCATATACGTACATGTATGGTCTTTATCTTATGAATGGAGTTTCCTTGAAAATTTCGCAGTCGTTTTATTTTCATGTTTCAATTCTTACCGCGAAATTGGCAAAAATAAAACTGCTGTGAAAATTTCCCTGTTTACAGTATTTATATATTATAATTTTAGGCTCCTTGTTTACATTTATATTTCATTATTCCTAAGATATCTCTGATAGTTAATGTAGTTTAATTGTGAACTGTAAATTCATAAATTATTGCGATTTTTGAAGAATGTGGACAAAAATGCGAGATTAATTATTGCGATTTCTGGAAAATATGCATGCAGATCTATGTTTCAGATATAAGAATGTGAGTTCTTATCATTGCAATACTCACTCAGTAGCATTATTCGCAGCAATAAAAACCTTGCAATAATTTCCGAAATTTACAGTACATCATTTCATACTTTTCTCATTTAGAATTCAAGAATATTGTGAAACAAGTTTTTCTGTCAAAAAATAAAGAACATTAATTAACTCATGTCAGCCCATATTATGATGCTCATCTCTAAAACTGATGGTAAATGGCTTTAACTATTGTAATTTTGTACATTTCAAAATAGTAATATGTTCTTTTATTTATTTTAGGAAGTATTTGGACATTTTTGAGAACTCTTGGAATCCCAATCATGTAAGTAAAGTCAGGCTTGTTTGAAATAATTTTTCATTGACTATGAAGATTTTCAAATATAAAGGGAGCGAAACATTTTTAACCTCATTTAGAAATTTTCTTGAAATCAGACACAATTACTAGATACTGGATCAATTGATATTTCAAGTCATATAAATCAACATGATTAATGAATATGTATACATTTCTTTTACCTAATGAATATAACTTTTTAGAATTATTATATTAATGATTTTCTTAATGATATATTGAACTATCTTTTTTATCATTTTACAAAACACTAAAACTGTGCAGCTTTTTTTTGTAATAAAAATTTAATTACACACATTGATACTTTTAACCATCCTGGTATGTATCCAGATGTCCTTTGTTTCGTTTATTGTCATAGAATGCTAAATGTGGTTCAAGTTTCCTTGGACGAATCATTAAGATCTTTGCATGCACTTCCATTTTATTTTTTAGAGCGCTTAAAATGAATACTTTCAGACATTACAATAATGACAAAGTCAATATTTTTTTACATACATGTATCTTTTATTTTTCTGTGTGTGAAATGTTAAGATTTGAGTTTTTATTCAAGATATATATTCTGTTTGTAGATCTGCAAGTCCTTGTTCTTTACCACAGAATTTACTGAAGTTAGTAAACAGTCAGATAAATTGGCATATTGCCATTGCAAGGTATAGTATTAAATTTTGTCTTTTTGCAGATTTAACTTTGCCAATAAGGAAAATAAATGATGTTTGAAATGCTTAGACTAAAAATACCACTTATTCAATATCTAAGTCTTTCAGTTTTCACAGCAGATTATCATATATTTTGTGTACTTATGTCAAGATTACTTAGTATAAACCCTCTTATGCTGCAATAAGTACTTCCACTTCTCATTTCTTTCAAGAATGATAGTACATGTACATCATGGCCTTGCAAGGTCAGCAGGATATTTACCCATTAAATCAAAAATTTTGGTATCAGTGGTAGAGATTAACTGTTAGAAAAACTCATTCTGTTAAAATTTCAAGAAATCCAAATTGGTCAATGACATAACAAGAACAGTGGGGAAAAAAGTGCTGCTTATGAGAATGCTACTGTTTTCAAATATAAGTTTTAATAATAGATTTACAATTTTTTTTCGCAGTCGAGATGCTAAAATAGTCCATTTTTACTTGTTGTAATTCAATATCAGTAGAACGGATACCAAATGTAAAACTGATATTTTTTTGTCCTGGTTGGTGACCCTGTGTGTTATATTTTAGTCGTTAATCAGCCGAAATTTACCAAAAAACACAGTTATTAACTCCTATATAAATTTAACTTTATTAAAACATATTTTGCACGCATTTACATATTATGAAGGAAAATTTATTTCATGATAATGTTTTCTTTTACAGTGAATGTACATACATTGCAATACTTCAAGACCAGTGTGTGGAAATCAGGTACAGATTTATCTTGTGTAGTTATCCCTGGGCTTACACTCATAAAACTTTGAAATATGATTATTGTATTCAGATTCAGAAATCAACCAATAAAAATACTGGATTTGGTGTTTCAAGCACAAATTTTGTATTCTTAGCATTGACTAATGTTTTATGACAGAAAGGCCTAGTAGATTTCCTCAAAAAATTTATTAGTTGATATTTACTTACACCATCATGATTTAATTTAAATATTTATTATATGTTTATATCTTAAATTCCCTGAATTTTATATGCATCTGATTTTATGATGCAGAAAAAAACAAAATTAGAGAAACTAATGTATATATTGACTAAGATATATTTTATATGTGCTTTAAAGTTATATTTTCAAAGAATTTTTTTCTTTTCTTTTTAACAATTACAAACTTCAGCAATTTTCCAAAAAAAAAATAATCTAAACTTAATGTACATATGCTATGAAAGAACATAATATATTATATTTATTTTATTTCAAACTTCAGATCTAAAAGGGACAATTTTGAGAATGTGGTTGGTAGAGGTGTTGTTCCCAGAGATCCATACCCGCAATGGCGACAGGTGACATGGAGCCCAGATAATACCATGGTAGCTTGCTCTAGGAGCAATGGGACAGTAGATGTGTTTGATATTGTTGGGACACAGCTCTTCGCTATCAGTGGGGTATAGCTTTTCATATCTTTAGTAAAATTCATTGATTTAAGTACAAAATTATAAATTTTTACTTTCTTGTCTATGGTTCACCACAAAATATGTGGAAACATTAAAAATGCTGACATAGTTTCCTTAATTATTTATTTTCATAAGTGAAAAAATATCAGTCAAAATTATTATTATGTCTATATTCATTCTCTAGCGTGATTTTTCACTTAATCTCATATAGTTATCCTTTAAATGTCTACTTTTATCTATAGGAAGCCCAAGAAGACATGAATAAGCCTCTAGATTTGAGCGGTGCTGTGGCAGGGTTGTTGTTTACTGATCTAAAGTTAGAGGCACCATGGTAATAGAAATTTTTATAAAGAAATATGGAGTAGATTCTCATGAAATGTTAAAATTGTTGTGCATTTATGAACAAAACAAAGTATGGGCATATGACAGAAAGAGTAATTAAAAGGGCTACAATGTACAAGTGTCTATATCATATGACAAGTGCTAAATCATCTGGAGTCTGTAAACATCTACATGAGGATCTTAACCTCTGACCGGCACATTGAATGAAGTCATCTTTTAATAACTTAATTGATACTTTTCCCATAATTTTTAGAATTATGTAGAAGTTTACTGAAGTCATGACAAGATGTATGAATTTATTTCCAAGTCTTTTTAAAAACTTTCACAATCTCTGTTGGAACTAAAACTGGCTTGAGGATTATCTCCCATTCATTTGAGTGGCTGTGTAAGAACAATGCGCTATTTCTGGCAAAAATGCCAAGACAGCTCTGTTGAGAAATTTAAATTGTAGGTACAGAATTCTCTTTAAACAGCTTTATTCTTCTATCTTTCACAAAATTATTAACATAGTATAGCGGAAAAAAAATGAAAAATAATATCTATTTGTGACCTTTCCATGCCTTTGTTTGATATTTGTTGTCCATGTTAAAATGATTTTTGAATGCAGGTCAGCAGAGTTATTGGTTGTCAACTATCATGGAAGACTAAAAAGCTACCTGGTCGATAGGGACAAAGGTTTTCAAACACGGCATCACTTCCTGTTTAACCACCAGTATCCTCTTGGGATAAGTTCTATTGTGTACTATGAGCCAGCTAAAATTCTATTGGTGGGAGGACTTGGAATGCAGACTGAAATTGCACTGAGTCGATCCATGGAAGAAGGGGTGACAGCCTGGAGAATTTTATCTGAATATCCTTATTATAAGATGGTGACAGATTATGAACAAGATTTAAAACAGGTACATGTACTTGTAAAATCAGTAGTGGAAAAAAAGGAGGGATATAGGAATAAAAATATTTAATAGAAAGCATGTATTTTGAATGTTAAAGATGAAATATTTGACTTAAATTTTGAGGTCAGTCTGTACATTTATATAACATATATAGCATACATTTTTTAAACTAAAGCATAGAGGTTGAAAATAGCATATACATGGTGGACATGGGTCTTAATTCACTGTCTAACAAGCAAATCTAAGCATGCTGTTGTATTCGGTTTTAAAAAATTTAAACGAAAAGTAAACCTTCTGAAATGAGTACTTGCTACAGAGATTTGTAAAAATGAGAGTATGAAAAGAAAGAAAATTAATTCTAACCACAACTGACTAAATGATTCTCATAAGTGTAAAATCAAATATACTGTGAAATTTTTGCATGTATTTATTATTGCTGTTGTTAAACAACCGACACACATATGAGATTAGTTATTGCTATTTCAGGAAATGCTAAATACCAATAATACTTTTTTGCAAAAATAGAAAACAATCAGGCTTAAAGATTGGAATTACATTGACTTTCAAATTCTGTACCACATTATTGCTCATTTTATGAAGTTTACCATAAAATGTTTTGAAACTTCAGCTGAAATTGTGAGTGATATTGGTTTGTTTTTCTATATGATTACAGTAATATTTATATTTCTTGACACAACTGATACATTACATTTCTCGTTTTATGTGGGTTAAATTATTTCTGTTTTATTGCAGGCTCAGCAAAAAAGAACCTTAATAAAAAGACTGAAATCTGTAAATGGTATCTTCAACAGGAGACCACATGTTCAGGTATAAAACTTCTGTGTGTGCTTATTTCATAATTGTCAACTTTTTGAGGTTTTGCTGTCTGAGCCAAAATGCATTGTATAAGGTAAACTACAGTTGTTTAATTGTTGCCTGCCTCATGTTCATATTTTCATCTTTATTCATCTCTGAGAAATAAGTCTACAGAATGAACCAAAAATAGGTCATATACATTTAATTTTATGTGAATCTTTTAACTTTAGAAATAAGGATATGACGTATGTGTCAATGAAAAATCAATCCATCTCTTAAAATTGGGAACATCTGAAAATCATCTTAGCAAAATCTTAAAGCATGACAACATTCATACTGTATTGTAAGCTCTAAACTTTTTGAAGACATAAAGAACTATCATATATGTCTATCTTGGTCAGCTGGGTTTATTGTCTCATTAAAATTTTCCAAAGGAGTAGGTCCGGTAAGGGCCGATTTTGGCCTCAAATTTCAGGTTCATCTAACGAAAGATTTTGGACACTTTTTAAACACTTAAGTGTCTATTTCAGTTGATTCAATTAGTTTATGTGAAAGATTTTAACTGATTGAGTCATTAAAAACGCTCCGATTACAGCTTAAATATGAAAAATCTATCAAATATGCCAAAAGATGTCACTTTTCAGATGGTTTTTGTCAAAAATGAAAGTGGCCGCATCCGTGTTCATCCTCAACCTTTATATATGTTATGTGTTATCATCAAATACAACTTACATTTCAATATTAAGAATGAACACAAATGCGGCCACTTTCATTTAAGACGGAAACCGTCTAAATTTTAACTAAAATACTAAAATTGTGAAGATTTCAGTAATTTAGCATGACTTAATGATGCTAGTACCCGATATATGTGCATTGTATTGTCAAAAACAGCCCATATTTATGTAGCAGAAGCATTCTACTTTCCAATAAATAACTAAAAGTTTACATTTTAACAATTTTGTAAAACTGCTATATTTTGGGGCCAAAAAGGGGTCTTACTGGACTACTCCTTTACCATTTTATAAAGAATTGCAGGGATCTCCATGGATGAAAATTTAACGATGGAGGAACTTTCACCATTACAAAACCCTGCGTCTACAGTGTGTTGTGATCAAAAGTAATTCAATCCTCCATTTTTATGTAAAGAATGGTGAACTGACTGATATATTGCTTATTATATTTATTTCATTATAGAACAACCAATATTTTCATTAATTGTCATATGTAACAATTTCAATGTCAAGCCTCCATGGCTCCCGTTCAGTCAAGAATGGCCGCAAGCTGTCCTTAAGGTTCCCAAGTCGTTTTCTTGCTATTTTGGTAATTGTTTAGGACTTTAAAATGGGGGGGGATCTTTTTTTCACTGTCAAATTCAGAAGTCATGAACCAGTATCGACAATTCCCAGCATCAACAACAAGAAGTTTCGTACCCATTTTGTAAAACGTTGAATAAAGATTTGGAGGTCAAACGTTTACAACTTAAAATGTTTTTAATGACTTAAACTAGCAAATTTCATAGTAATAGACAATGCAACATGCATCTTTCGATTCTGAATTTAAACCTGATGTAATAATTTGATTGTAAGCTATGAAATGAATTTCGGAATTACGATATGAAATTTCTTCAGATTATCAAGTTGCAGTTAATATTCATGTATTTACTTTTAAAATTGTAAAGTGATTCAATAATATCGATAATTGTTGTACTCATGTTAATTGGCATGAAATCATGTTCTGTTTTACGTCTTATTATACCCCCGCTTTAAAAAGGTGGGTTATACTGTTTTACCTCTGTCTGTTTGTCCGTCCGTCCATCCGTCAGTCAGTCCATCCGTCCCATGAATATTTTTCGTCGCATCTTTCTCAGGAACTGCATCATAAGGATTTCTGAAATTTGGTTGCAGGGTTTATATAAGTCAGCTATACCGTGTGATGCATTTTCAGGTTCATCACTCAACAACTTCCTGTTTACCGAACACTTGTATATTTTTACACTGTTAAAATTATTCAGTTGTGGCGGGGGCATCATCAGTTTCACATGTTTTGTACTCATTTAAAAAGGGGGATGCTGATTGTGTAAGTCAACATAAAAGCATGTGTTGTACTTGTTAAACTTTTTTCTTCGTAACTGGATTTAAAATTTATTTTTTAAATCTGAATTTTCATTAGCATTTGCTGAAACGTAATTAAAGAATGCAATTAATTGTCTATCTTGATAAAGTGTTTTCCTATCAGGTGTGTTGATCTACCTGTTCAAGTGATTAGTAATCTTTAGCCAGATATCCCTCAGGGCTTTACAACTATAATCAGGAGGACCCTTTGGATTATAATAAGGGAAAAATGGCGGCGGCTAGCGAAACGAAAAAAAATTTTGACAATGGCGGGGATCATTTGACGATGGCAGAAGATAATTAAATGATGGTGGGGATCATTTGACGATGGTGGAAGATAATTTAATGATTGCAGTGTGCCATCATAAAAATGGTCACGGAGATCCCTGAATTGTAGTGAAATGTTTGCAAGTCTAATAATCTTTAAATTTTTCCATGAATGATTTACTGTAATTCATAATTAATCAGGGGATACCAATTTTCGTGGATTTCATGGGTACAGGTTAACCACAAATTCAAATATTCAACAGATTACAAATTTTCTATAGGCTCATATGCAGACTTTGGAAAAACCATGAAATCATGTACATGTATCCCCAAAAATGTTAGATTTCTCAATCCATGAAAAATTGGTACCCTTGAAAATTAATGAATCTACAGTGTACAGTATATTGAAATAATTGTGTTATAAAAATTATATTTACTACATTTTTCTAGGATGGTGTGTTTAAACTGTGTATTTCTCCAGACAACAAATTAGTGGTAGGATTACATTACTCTGGGAAGTTGACCATCTGGAGACTGCCATCACTTAAACTTTGCCATTGCTGGGGACTTGAGGAGCAGGTGAGATATCTTATTTTGATTAATTATTGTAACTGCAATTTATTAAATTTTCTGGTGTGTAGCAGTTGGGTAATTTCATTGTTTTCTTTTAAATGATTCTTTTGTTTAGTTATATTTATAAAATGAAAAAAAAATATTTAAACCAAAAACATTTTTTACTATTACAATATGATTATGTTTCTTATATATATATATATTACAACATAGAAATATAATTTGCACTGCGTCACTGATGAGTCTTTTGTAGATGAAATGTGTATCTGGCATACAAAATTATAATAGATATAAGAAGATGTGGTATGAGTGCCAGTGAGACAACTCTCCATCCAAATAAAACTTTATAAAAGTAAACCATTATAGGTCAAAGTACGGTCTTCAACAGGGAGCCTTGGCTCACACCGAACAGCAAGCTATAAAGGGCCCCAAAAATTACTAGTGTAAAACCATTCAAACGGGAAAACCAACGGTCTAATCTATATAAAAAACAAGAAACGAGAAACACTTATGAACCACATCAACAAACGACAACTACTAAACATCAGATTCCTGACATAGGACAGGTGCAAACAAATGCAGCTGGTTTAAAGGTTTTAATGGAACCAAACCTTCACCCTTTTTCTGAAACAATAGTGTAACATCACAACATAGAAAGACACACTATAAAATATCAACTGAAATAGCTTAACTCAATCAAAGGACATATTAACACCAGTGAACATACACTGAACAAATAAATTTGACCTATGATACAATATAATGGTATCTTTGATTAGATTTTTTTGCACAATAGGGTTGCTTCACACAAATTATTTCCAGAAAATACAAAAAAAAACATTTATTTTCGAAAAATGAAAAATATTGTGATGTAAAATGAGTAATGTTACTGTGGATTCGTTGGATACCAATTTTCGAGGATTTCATGGGTGAACCATGAATTTAATTGTTCAACAAATTACAAATGTTCTATAGGGTTGTATGCAGACTTTGGCAAAACCACGAAATCAAATATCCACGAAAATGCAGGTTTTTCTCAATCCACGAAAATTGGTACCCGCGAAAATAAATTAATCCACAGTAATTAAAATCATATTTCATTAATTTCATTAACAATACAGGAAAGTTTATTAATAAGAACCACATATACTTTTGCTTTTGTAGCCTGATTTTGATGAGATTAGTCCAGAGTTTACAGACAATCCACAGAGAAGGAAGACTCTAAAAGGTGAGTTTTAACAACTGAAATTTATTTTCATGTCTTCTTTTAGTAAATTCCAAAAAAGAATGATTTAAAATTACATAAAACTGTAGTGTGGTAAAGTCACATTATAATATGGCAATATATTATCAAAAGATACAAACTTAATTTAAATAAAAGAGTTATATGCATTCATATTTGGTCTAGTTTAATAATTGGATTACCATTTTTTGTGTTTTATTGAGTATGCTTATTTAATTATTTCTTTTTAGATTTGGTTCCATGTAAAAATCTAGTAGATGTGAATTGGTGGGATAGTAAGGTAAGATAACCAATTATTACTGCAAAAGTTTCCCACTTTTGCTAAAAATAGAACTTTTGTTTCTTTTAATTGTAGGGATAGTAAGTTAAAATATAACCCAGTGTTACTACAAAAGTTTCCCACTTTTGCTGAAAATAGATTTTATGTTTTTTTAATTGTAGGGATAGTAAGGTAAAATATAACCCAGTGTTACTGCAAACATTCCTACTTTTGCTAAAAATAGATCTTTTGTTACTTTTAATTGTACTTTTTTACATTTTTTGCAGATCTGACTTTTTATGATAAATTTATGTTAAATGGTTATTTACTGCAAAAGACAGACGGCCATTGTTTAAAAAAAATGTTTTCACTAAATGTGTTATCGGAAGAGGAAATAATAATAATTACTTTTATTCACATAGTTAGTATGACTAAGGAATAGAGGGAGTTATTTTCACATCCTATATCAAGGTTTTTTTCTCAATTCAGTCACTTATCCTGTCTCGTTGTACTGGTGCAGTAACAGTTTCATCAACAAAGACTTTGAAGAATTTACTAGGAACCTCTCCGGAATGGTTTGAACCATCTTCCCGTGTGACTGGGATTCATCATGATGGATTTCTAGGTTTAGAGGTAAATCTGACACATTTACTGTAGTTATACATGTGAACATTTACTGTAGTCATACATGTGAACATTTACTGTAGTCATACATGTGAACATTTACTGTAGTCATACATGTGAACATTTACTGTAGTCATACATGTGAACATTTACTGTAATCATACATGTGAACATTTACTGTAGTCATACATTTGAACATTTACTGTAGTCATACATGTGAACATTTACTGTAGTCATACATGTGAACATTTACTGTAATCATACATGTGAACATTTACTGTAGTTATACATGTGAACATTTACACCCTGCCCTGTATTTCTGTCAATAGATAAGTTTCAATATGACATAATATAAGTTTTGAGATGTTTCCCTAGTCCACCATTTTGGAGGGATAAATCCTTAATAAATTGAATGTGGCTGATATATGATGGAATTTTTGCACATAGACCACCAACATTTTGACGAAAGGGAAATAACTCTTGCTCAAATTGTGTCAATGGATCCCCATCTAATGTTACTTAGCATTTTTATTAGGATAGGTAATATTTTTTCCATCAAATTTTAATTTAATGCTTAATCTGCGCTGCAACAAAATATGGTAATACTAGAAAATGAGTATATTGGTATTTTCTATTACGTAAGTTTGCCAAGGAATTTCAAAGTTGCATAGGAAGTCCAAAGATAACCTTAGAATTCAAAAGTTACTATAGGAATTGATTTGCATTGGAAGCCCAAAGTTTATAAAGGAATTTCAAAACTTACTGAAGTCATGTTTTGTGTACTTGTAGTTAGGTCTTTAAGAGTGATCATGTCATCAATTACTGTAGATTCCTTACTTAGAAATACAACGTTCAATCCCTTAAACACCAGATGCAAATAGAAATAAAGGTTGTAACCAATTTAGATTTTAATGCCTTGCTTTCGATGATAAGGAGCATCATATTTTTCGTTAGTTTGTCCATTTGTCTGTCCTGTATCAAGTTAAAAGTTTTGGTTTAGGGTAATTTACCATAAAGTTGTTATCAAATCAGCTTGAAACTTAGTACACACATTCACTATGATGTAAACTTTAAAACTATTTACTAAATGAGGGTTTGATCAAGATTTCATGGTTCACCCACATGGATTTTTCTAGCATTCCACAGGGTCCGGTATTCGGATGGCAAAACCCCTACATTTTTCCCAATTTTGGGAGCAAAATTCCAAAACAATCTCAAAATTCATTTTCATCTTTATTATTCATGACTGCAATGTTCATTATGTTCAACTGTTAGCTTTATGCCTAAAATCACCAACAAGTAATGTGTAAATCCGAGTAAAAACAACATCATTAATAAACAATGGCTGCCATAAACCGGAAATATTGACAATACAAATACCAGATCAGATTCCCCGGAGCGGATAAGGCTCATTCTGGGTTTGCCGATCAAATACAATAAATAAATAAATCAAAATCATGGCAGGTGACAAAATACAGCTCTGAAATATAAACACTAGAATTGAAAACCAAAATATATATGAAAAAGAAAGAAGAAACCTGAAATATTTTATACAGAAACTCAAATTTATTTTTAGTTCACAAATTTTCATATCAAAATCCAATAAAATGTGACATTACATTTTTTTATCACTACAAAATGTTGATATGAGATGCTTTTATAATGTAAACATATAACTACAGATCCAAGAGGTAATTTCTTCTCAATTTTGAAGGGCCAGTAAAAATCTGGAAGAGCAAGTGAATTTTAAAAAAGAACAGAAAATAAAATTTTATATAGCAATCATGTAGTTTCTTACTTTATTTTCACAAAAAGATAACTTTTAATGAACTAAACACACTAAAACTGACATCTGTTATATTTGTTGTTTTTTCCCAATTTCATTGAAAATCGCATAAAAAAAATCCCAAAACTGGCCAGGATCCTTTTTCCCAAAATACCCATAAAAAACCCTGACCAAGCTTAGAAATATGAAAGTTCAAACTTGGTATGATTTTCTATGGACACATATTCTTTTTAAAGATCTTTATAACATAGAAAACTATTTTTCCTTTTTCTGCCCTCTGAATTATATGGATAATAAAGGAACAATTCTTGCATTGTAGGTGGAATGTGTGTTCCCTCAGAAAAGACGACTTGGTGATACATCTGAAGAAGAATTCGAAGACAGTGATGATGAAGAAACTTCCTTTGTTTCCAAGACAACCAAACTCACAAAAGACGTACTTTATTATGTTACAGACATGGAAAGATTTCAGCCACCAAGAAAAAGACCAAAGTAGGATTGATAAATGTTAATTTAAATTGTTGTTATTTTCTTATATAAACAATTTGTATTTTTGTGTGATACAATGTGTTTAATAATTGTAAAATAAATCAGAAGTTCTTGAATAGAAAGCAGAAATAGAGTGTGAAAATCAATATTATATATTAAGACACAAACAAAAGTATGAAGCTTCAATTTGAAAACTTGTATAAAAATGTTTTTGAAAATTTATAGTCAATGCAAATTAGCATAATTAGGTTATTGCAAAAGTGTTTGACCTAATTTTTTAGTAAGTTTCAAATTCATATCTAGGATACTAAGGAATAATAACTATCTATTGATGAGAACAGATGCTATTGGTGCATTTCTGTATTAGGTCAGATAATTTTTTACCAATTACTATTTTGTCATTTTTCATTATATATTTATTTCAGAATAATTAACAGAACATACAGGCTTGTTTGTCTCAAATCAACGACCCCAGAAGAATTGTATACAAGAAAGGTGAATGAACTTTGACTGGGAAAAGTAATCCTATATGTGTAGTAAAGATGTGTTCACAGACATAATCCCAGGGGAAGACATATCTGTGTTCATTACATCGTAACATAAATCACTCTTTACAAGATCCCTATGCAACAAATTGAAGGTTTCAAATTTTATATTCAATTTGAAAACTTGTATAAAAAACTGTGAACATTAACATTCCTTGCTAATTATCCTAATAAGTTAGGTCACTTGATCCGATTTATTAGTATTTTCAAAATTCTTGCCAAGGATAGATATAGGAAAGAAGACCAATTCTCTTCTTCCTTTGACTGTGTTATTGATTGGAATGGATTAACTCCCCCTTTACCCCTTTTAACACTGTTGTTCAATTGAATCGGTTGACAAATCAAAATACAAGATAAATTCCAAGAGTAGTTAAATAATATTTTGTGTTAGTAAAAAATTGCTACTGTTTTGTTTTCTTCATGTTCATGCATAATAACTTGTATTTCAGATTGTTTGCTGCATGTTGATGTATTATGTCAATTACGTATTAACTTGTTTTTCAGATTGACCATGAAGAGTATGGAGAGGCATTAGAACTGGCCAAAGCTTACGGTCTAGATACAGATAGAGTATACCAGAGACAATGGAAAAAATCTGATGTATCTATTGCATCCATTCAGGATTATTTGGTGAGTACATTCAGTTATTTTATAAATATTAGATTTTAAAGGATAACAGAAATTACCAACAATAATATTGGACAGTACAACAAACCACACCAAGCCTAACAACTGACTCCTTGGATAAAATAGATGTACAAACAAAGACAAACATCCAGAAACAACACATGGTCCAGATAGCCTGGTTTATTATACACACAAATTGTGTTGGGGTTAAATAGGCACTTATATATTATATAAGTAATATTTATACATAGTTTGATTTTCATTACACTCAGTAGTCAATATTTTACTATTTTCCCAGGATGTGTGTTTTCTTTACTATTGAGATGAAACAGATTTATTATCATATCTCAATCAGCTAGATGTGAAGTTTATCACAATTCAATTCAATTCAATTCAATATTTTATTTACGTCTCACCTTATGTATAAAATTACATAATACAATTATGAAAGATACATTTTGTATACATAAGCCAATATGTACAGATTTATGAGAGACGATAACAACTAAAACAACATGTATGTACAATAATAGATATTAAACATGAATGGTAAAATTACACAACATAATTAGTTATTTATTATATACAATATAAAACTTCTTGGCATCTTTTCCGAATAAAATTACAGGTTTTGGCACATAATCTTTTAATATCTTGATTCGAAAATAAAAATACCATTATCTGATAGTCTGTAAAACTATTAAAATGTTCATCAATTTTAAGAGATTCAGTTAAAAGAATTTGTCTAAGATCATTACAAACAGGACAATGTAAAATGACATGATATTCATCTTCAACAGTATTAAAACAATTACAACAACATCTCTCTTCCAGTGGCAAATTTTCATACCTCCCAGTTTTCAGCCTAATAGGAACCACCCCACATCTAAATTTTGCAAAGGCACTTCTTTCACTAAAAGGCATCAACAGTTTGCAGTAGTTTTCAACAACATAATCATGCTTAAAAATAGTATATGTTCTCAACTTGTTACACTCATTTCCCCTCTGGAAGAGGGCAAATTAACAATTCTTTTCCATTCATCAATATATTTATCAAACATTCTTGACATGACTGTATCAACAAACATATTTTTATTATACGACCGTAAAAAAATTTTGCGGTCATATATTGGTATGACGTTGGCGTCGTCGTCCAAAGACACATTGGTTTTCGCACTCTAACTTTAGTTTAAGTGAATGGATCTTTCTGAAATTGTAATACAAGGTTCCATATCACAAAGGGTAAGCTGGAATTGAGTTTTGGGGTAATTGCCCTAAATGTTTAGGAATTTGGTGCCAAAAAGGGGCCAAAAAACAAGCATTTTTCTAGTTTCCAGACAATAACTTGTGATCAAGTGTATGGATCTCTCTGAAATTGTACTGCAAGGTACCATAACTCAAAGGGAAGGCTGGGATTGATTTTGGGGGTGATGAATCATATGGGGATTAAAAAAATTGGGGAGGGGATTTTTTCTTCTTTATAATTTTTCATTTTAAATTGGTTATTTCTGATTTATATATAAAAGCAAATAATAATGATATGGTTTGAATAGGTTAATTAAAATTTTTTAAGTTTTTAGACCACATTCATTCTGTGTCAGAAACCTATGCTGTGTCAAATATTTAATCACAATCCAAATTCAGTGCTGTATCAAGCTTGAATGTTGTGTCCATACTTGCCCCAACTGTTCAGGGTTCGACCTCTTCGGTCGTATCAAGCTGCGCCCAGCGGAGCATTTTATTAATATTAGTGTTGGTATTGCAAAAGTCAACCAATTGAAGTTCTGTGAACTGTTTTTTAACCATGAAATTCCAATTTTTTACAATTTTATGTTTCAGACTGACCTCATGCGCCCATATGAATATTTTCTTGTTAATACAATCTGGCTCCATATTTACTAAACTATGCCAGTGTCTTGCAATTAACTTTCATTGTGTATGGTAAATTGGAACCCACCCCATGTCTCCCATGACAGCTGGGTTTGGTGTGTATTTACTAACACCAAGGAAGAATCTACAAGCTCTCATCTGAATCGCATTAATAAATGATAAATTCTTGCAGCCCCAAATCACAGCACCATATTCAACAATAGGACTAACAAGTGAATCAAAAAGTTTTTATACGCCCGTTTACGGGACGTATTATGGTATACCTCTGTCCGTCCGTCCGTCCGTCCGTCCGTCTGTCCGTCGTCAACATGTCAGACATTAACTCAAAAATGCTTCAACCAATTTGCATAAAACTTTGGTGAATTGTTTATATCTTTTGACGTGAGCTCCCTTTCGTTTTTTATAAAATTTAGATTTTACGTTTCCGAGTCATGGGGTTTTATTCATTAAAAAAGGGGGATTTTCCAGTGTTCGGACAATAAGTCAAGAATGCTTTCACCAACTTGCAAGAAATTGTGGTGAATTGTTTATATCTATTGACATGAGCTCCCTTTTGATTTTTATAAATTTTAGATTTTACGTTTCCGAGTTACAGGGTTTTATTCATAAAAAAGGGGGGATTTTCCAGTTTTCGGACAAAAACTCAAAAATGCTTTCAGCAATTCTTATGAAACTTTGGTGAATTGTTTGTATGTATTGATGTAAGCTCCCTTTAGAATTTTATGAATTTTACATTTTACATTTCTGAGGTATGGGGTTTTATTCATTAAAAAAAGGGGTGATTTTCCTGTTTTCGGACAATAACTCAAAAATGCTGTCAGCAATTCTCATGAAACTTTGGTGAATTGTTTATATCTATTGATGTAAGCTCCCTTTTTATTTTCACAAATTTCTAATATGACATTGAGAATTAATTGAACTTTATTTGTTTATAGTCTGACAACAGATTTACTAAGTATTGCACAACAGCAAGAAATCTTTAATTGAATATAAATTCAATTCATATAACCAATTTCAAGTTCTTTGACTACATTTATTCAGAAACCTATCAAATATTTAATTACAATCCAAATTCAGACCTGAATCAAGCTTGAATATTGTGTCCATTTTTGCCCCAACTGTTCAGGGTTGGACCTCTGCGGGCGTATCTAGCTGCGCTTAGCGAAGCAGTTTATTTGTAGACGTCATATGAAATGCCACCAATAGATTCACACTTAGCTATTACAAGATCTCAAGCTCTGTTTGCTGACCTAGCAGCTGCTTTTGCAGTAATATACTGAAGTCGAGAAATTCATTTAAAACAAGGCCCAGATAAGCATATTCACTGCCAGCAGCAATATTCATATCCCCACACTTCACATGTTCTTAGCAGGAGGTTTAATTACATTAGTTTCCAATACAAATATACATGTCTTGTTAATTAGTGACCACTTGTGGCATTTGGCTTCCTTTGTCCTTTGTTTATTTGTACATAAACCTGGGTTCAGTTTAGCTCCTCCCATTTAGGAGTATCCTATTAAGAAGTTGTGTATAAAAAACCAGTGTATGCTGCCTTGAGTATCCAGTTATTTCAATGCAGATTTAGCAGTTATAAGACTATTTTTTACTCAAATAGTGTATTAGCTAAAAACTTGCCACCCACCAACCCCCTCCCTACACGTTCAATATTGCCATGACAGGGAACACTCAGCTGTTACCATCTGTGTTATGGACATTTATGAAATTTTATCACTGGTTGTTTCAAAAATTTCACTCATCTCCCAAGAATTTCTGGGGATAAACTGTCAAATGTCCTGATAGCCTCAAGCATTTATTTGGAACCATCGTTCCAATTGGATTGGTATGATGTCAAGCCAGGGAACTATACTTTGCTACTTTTCAGTATGCACATAGGCTCTTGGTTTATGCATGGAGCAAAAATTAAATTTTTTTAGTTGAGTAGATTCCCCAAGGGCCAAATTAGTGATGAATACTGGTATATATAAAGTTAAAGTTTTATTTCACTTATGATTTATGTTTCATTCAAACATGGATACCACTGACATTGCTACACAATATTTTCCCAGGAGTTTATTTACAATAGGATACAACAAATGTTGATACGAGCACTAAATCCTTAATTTGACATATGAGTTCAAATGGTGAGTTCTGAAAGAAATCAGGGGTAATTAAATTATTATTTAAATTACTAGGAACTCATTATGTGTGACTTGGAGGATTTTGTTCATTGACACATATTTTAGCATAAAGTTGGAATATAGGGCAAAAACTTACAAGAGGCTGGTTTTAATTGTCAGGTCAAAGAATTTTGCAAGAAGGTATCAGGTTGGATGTTTACTCAGGTGTTAACACACATTTCCCTATTACATAACAGACTTACATTGACCAAGGAAAAGAAACAGTATAAACAACAGACAATTAAAATAAGTACAATATCACAACAAATTATAAATGTAATTTACACTTATATATTTACAATCAAGAATCAGAACACAAGGCAAACATGGAACAAATGACAGTTACACATATTCAGGACCATTTCTGAGAATTTTGTATAAACCAGTTTTATGTGCACAAAAACCTTTTTGCATATCTAGACCACAAGTTGCTAAAGAAAACACACAATAAAAAACCTGTACAGTGCAGCTTCCAACAGGATGACCACTAACTAGCTAGAACAAGGAAATATAAAATGGCACATAATTTGGAGATTAGGGCCAAATGTGCCCTACTGCAGGAAGCAATTATTCACAGCTGTTTTGGTTGAATACTGCCACCAAAGAAACAAAACAATTAGAAAAAAAGACTCCTAACCAGTTTCATGATGTCTAATCTTAAAATCTAACTGAAAATGGCTATACTTGTGAGAGGTCAAACCTTATGTAAAAGTTATTTGTTTGGTATTTATTAGTTTTTCCCTGCATTAGAGAGGTTTGCTAAAAAGTCCACCATTGCAAAGCCATGTGAAGGAACTGAAAAAAATCCTGAAGTTGAACTTTATGATCAGGACAAAAGTTTAAGATGTGAGGTCCTCTCTTATTTAAACATTTTTGTTATGTTTTTATGGCTTCTCCTTTTCTATGATCAGTCAGGAAATCCAACATGAAACGGTTTTTCGATCGTAAATTCATGTAAGAGAAATTATTGTACTATTTCAGAGTAAGATAAAGAAAAGATCGTGGGTTTTCCATGAATGTCTCGAAAGAATTCCTTACAACATAGATGCCATGAGAGAACTGCTTGAGTTTGGACTTAAAGGGACAGATTTACAGGCTTTATTAGCTATTAAAAAGGGGGAGGATGGAGGAAGGTAAAATATGTCTGGTCAATTTACATTTACATTAAAACTGGTTCATTTTCTTTATCTTTTTTTACAATCCAGAGGCGGCAGTGGTGTAAACTATTTGTATAAGGCTTTATATTTCAGAAGGTAGAAGACCTGGATCCTGCATACTTTGTATGCAGATACCTTATGTTTTGAAGTTTCCGTCTGTCATATGTCCACTGACCTTTACTTCATTTTCATTGTTCAGTGACTGCTTTTTTTTTATGTCATATGAATTTCTCACTTAGTATGAGTAATATGATAACTACATTTGGTATATGTGTTCCTTGCAATGCCTACATATCCATCAGACAGGGTTCACCTGACCTCTACCTCATTTAATGGATCAGTAATCAAGATTAAAGATTGGTGGTCAAGTCAGTATCTCAGATACTATAAGTAGTAGGTCAACTATATTTGGTGTATAGAAATTGTAAGGTGTACATATCAGACTGGCAGGTTTCATCTGACCTTGACCTTTATTTCATGGTTCAATGAACAATGTTTAGTTTTTGTTGAGCCTGCGACTTTTGTTGAGCCTGCGACTTTTGTCTGTCGCAGAAAGCTTGACATAGGGATAGTGATCTGGCGGCGGCGGCGTTAGCTAACTTCATAAAAGCTTTATATTTTAGAAGCTAGAAGACCTGGATGCTTCATACTTTGTATATAGATGCCTTATGTTACGAAGTTTCTGTCTGTCATATGTCCATTGTCCTTGACCTCATTTTCATGGTTCAGTGACTACTTGAAAAAAAAAGTCAACATTTTTTGTAATGTTAATTTCTTTCTTATTATGAGTAATAGGATAACTATATTTAGTATGTACGTACCTTGCAAGGTCCTCATGCCCGTCAGACAATTTTCATTTGACCTCGACCTCATTTCATTGATCAGTGAACAAGGTTAAGTTTTCGTGGTCAAGTCCATATATCAGATACTATAAGCAGTAGGTCTACTATATTTGGTATATGGAATGATTGTAAGGTGTACATGTCCAACTGGTAGGTGTCATCTTACCTTGACCTCATTTTCATGGTTCAGTGGTCAAAGTTAAGTTTTTGAGTTTTGGTCTTCTTTTCTAATACTATATGCAATAGGTCAACTATATTTGGTGTATGGAAATATTTTATGATGTACATGTCAGTTTCGCAGATTTTATTTGACCTTGACCTCATTTTCACGGTTCATTTCTCAGTGTTAAGTTTTTGTGTTTTGGTCTGTTTTTCTTCAACTATAAGCAATAGATCAACTATATTTGTTGTATGGAAGGATTGTAAGGTGTCTGTCTGGCAGGTATCATCTGACCTTGACCTCATTTTCATGGTTCATTGGTCAATGTTAAGTTTTCATGGTTAAGTATGTTTCTTAGATACTATAAGCAATAGGTCAACTATATTTAATGCATACATTGATTGTAAGGTGTACATGTCTGACTGGCATGTTTCATCTGACCTTGACCTCATTTTCATGGTTCATTGGTCAATGTTAAGTTTTCTTGGTTAAGACTGTTTCTTAGAAACTATAAGCAATAGGTCAACTATGTTTGGTTTATAGAATGATTGTAAGGTGTACATGTATTTTTCGTTTGGTTTATCTGATCTTGACCTCATTTTCTTGGATCATGTTAAGTTAATGTGTTACTTGTAGTAAAGCTTTATATTTAGGACTATCAACATAAAATCAATGGTTAGTAAAGAAGGCGAGACATTTCAGCGTGTGCACTCTTGTTGTGGCTTGGTCTATTTCTCATGTACTATAAGCAATAGGGTCACTGTATTTGGTGTATGGAGTGATTGTAAGGTGTACATGTCTGTCTGGCAGGTTTCATCTGACCTTGACCTCATTTTCATGGATCATTGGTCAGTGTTAAGTTTTTACGGTTTTGTCAGTTAATGATGGTCAGATACTATTGTTACGGTTTAGGGGGTAGGCTGTAGACCATGTTGATAAATTTGAAACTCAGTTACAAGATAACTAATAAAAAAGTAGAAAAATTTGAAAACCTGACTGAATCACTTTTAGATAGTATCACCAAAATAGAAGGCCAAGTGGCAAATTTATGTATGAATATTTTAGATAATGTACCAAAAGTTAACAATGATTGTTCATTTGAACATACACTTTCTAATGTAACCAATAGTTTAATTGTGAGTAGTGAATCAAACCAGTCTTCAAACAATTAAACCAGTATACAGCGAGAATATTAGTTATACCAAACCATCAATCTACGATCGTACCACTAACTGGCTTGAGTACAAGCTACATTTTAAGGCTGTAGCAAAATTAAATTGTTGGTCAATTTTCAAGCTTATTACATGTATGAATGGTGCTGCTTTATTGACCTTATCGGATATAGAAATAGATAATATCCCAACATATTGTAATTTAGTTAAAACATTAACCAAAAGGTTTGCTCCTGAAAACCTGACAGATGTTTATGTTTCACAAATTGATGCTTGTATACTTAACCAGGCCAATCTTTACAGGATCTTGCTTAAGATATAAAAAGACTGATCAGAATGGCTTATATATCAGCAACTCTTGATACCAGGGACTATTTAGCATATATGGCATTTAGAAAAGCACTAAATGACCATGATTTAGAATTTTCTATTTTACAAAGCATTGTAGAAACCATTGACAGGGCGTTTACTGTGCTCTGATATGTGAATCTTTTAGAGCTACAGTAAAAAAGTTTAGACAACAGACAACATTTGAAACTGATGCTTGTTTGCATACAAAGCTGTCTGTCTGGCAGGGTTCATCTGACTTTCACCTAATTTTCATGGTTCATTGGTCAATGTTAATTTTTCATGGTTTTGTCAGTTTATCAGGTACATTAAGTAATATGACTACTATATTTTTTGAGTCGAAAGAAGGTGTACACGTCTTTCAGATGGGGTTCATTTGACCCTGACCTCATAATTATTATTCAATTTTGATTAAAAAATAAGTGTGCACTCTTGTTGGTTTGTAGCAATTCCTAAAATACATCCCATTATTCTAAAAATGAAAGGAGCAATCATTTATATGTCAATGAGACAGCAAACACAAAATATCATAGGCATCTAGAGGTAAACATATGGTTTCATCAATAGATAAGTGAATGCTCTGACTTGCCTGAAGTCTAGAAAAGCTGTGAATTAACAAAATCTTTCAAAGTTCTTTCTGTTTTATTGTTGTTCAAATAAGGCTTTAGAAATTCATGCAATTAATTATGAATATGAAATACTATTTAATTTCATAAAAGCATGAAAAAAGGATGATCTCAATACAGGCTAGGGAAGCAATTAAAATCAGTAAATCAGAATCCAGAAATTTCAACCGTATATATTTTGGCATCGTTGGGTTCACCTATGTATGTACTACAGCCTATGCACAGTGTTCCTGTATTGTCCATGTCTAAAGAGGATGGACAATGGATACCCAACTGATCCTTAGTGTTCAGGTAATGAATGCACTGTCCTGTAGTGTTGAGGATATGAATCATGTGATGATGATTATCTGTAACTATGAAATTGTCAGATTTTGTAGCCACCAAATCTTGAGGTTTCATAGTTTGTTTCTTGTTTATATCTGGATTACCGATGTATATCCATCTAGCTCTGTTTGTTTTATCTAATGCCACTATCCTACCACAATCTTCTTCATCCAGAACATCAATGACATAAATGTTATTATTACTGTCTGTAGTTATTTTGAAGGGAACAGTAAATATCGATTTCCCTTTGTTGTCAGTGTGATACACTTTTTCTTTTTCTCCATCCATACTCATCATGATAACTTGTCTTGGACCATTAATTGAGAAGGCTTGTGGTTGGTTCTCTCTTACGCCCACTAAGATCTTATGGTCACTTGTTACATGGACACCAAGTGTTATTAAAGGATTTACATTGTACCTTGCTGGTTCCAATTTACTGGTGCTACAGGAAAGTATTGTAAGGTTTGATTCTTTTGTAGATAGAAGTAAGTCACCTGATGGTAGTAATGCCATGTTAAATATGCTTGTCTTAAAAGTGTGTAAATCACATAATGATTCATTTGATAGTTTTATTTTATGTAGTTTAAGGCTTGGAAAACCACATATCAAAATACCTGGGTCATCACAACAGACTAAATTGTCAACAATTGGTAGCTCTGTTTTGTATTGCTTTATCACTTTAAATTCAAATATCTTTTGGTCATCATCAGATTCTTTTAATTCTCCAAGGTAGAAATCTTGAATTACATTTTTACCTGGGACAAACTTAGGCAACTTTTTATATTTAGGGTTGGCAGGTACTATTCTTTGTTGTCTTGAAATTTTCTCCTCTGAATATATGTTGAAAACTTGATTAGCAATATTTGAATTTAAGGCTTGGTTTAAATTCTTCCTTCTAAGGTCTAAATCTTTGTTGATCTTCTGTGATCTATTTCCAGCATCATTCACTGATTGCATCAGAATTTCCTTTCTTTGATCAAGTTCTTTCAAAAGTTTATTGGTATGGTTTTCAACTTCATCCTTTAATATTTTTTCTCGGATGAGAATATTCTGCTTTTCCAATTCATATTTTGAGTCTTCTGAAGATTTCAAAATTCCAAGTTCAGATAATACTTTTTCATTTTGATCTACTTCCTCTTTAATATCAGAATTAAAGATTTTCATTGATTTCAATGTAAGATTATATCCTTCAGCTAGTTCAATCATATTGTGTTTGTTATGAATTTTTGTAATACACAAAGGGCAGACAACTACTTCACATGCTTGACAAAATAAGACACAGTTGTGTTCACTATGAATTCCACATTGAATGTTACTTAAATCTAGTTTATCCTTAATCTGTTGCTGGTGAGAAGTAATGTCCTTTATGTCTATATATGTGTGCTGGTCAGTTGATTTCACTTTTTTATGAAGTTTCTGACATTTTGTACACAAGAGAAAGTCACACTGTAAACATTTCCATTTGACCTCCTTTGATTCTTCACACATCTGACATAACATTGGA